TGAGACAATGTATATTAGTTTCTTTGCCTCTAAAGGGTGAGGCAGAGAGAGAAAGAGAGGGTGAGGAAGGGGGAGACAGACCTCCCCTAGAGCTAATGAAAGAAACCCAGTGGTGTAGTGGGTTGTTAACCAAAAGGCCGTTAGTTTGAATCCCTGAGCACCTGCCCCGTGGGATGAGGCTGTTGGCTTCTGTAAAGGTTACGATCTGGAATCCGTAGGCAGTTAATCTTCCCTGTTGTACAGGATTCACTGTAATTTGAAATCTCAGTGCAGTAGGCCTGGGGATTTTTTTCAGAGTTAGAATTCTGAGTTTGGATCTTTGGCCTCATACACTGTGAGAGGATTCAGGCCGGGGTCTTTTTCTAGTCGTTTCTATGTGTCCGAGAGCCGAACGATGAATAAGGATGACAGAAGAATTGATGCCTTTGAGCTGTGATGTTGGAGAAGAGTGCTGAATGTCCCATGGACGGCCAAGAGAATAGACAGATTATGTCTTGGAGAAAGTGCGGCTGGAGGACTCCTTGGAGGCAGGGATGGTGAAGCTTCCCATCACTTGCTTTGGGCATATTTTTAGCAGGGGCTGTTCCTTGGAGAGGGACATTCTGCTTGGAAAGGTGGAGGGACGGAAGACTTGAGGACGACCCCCAGTGAAATGGACTAACACAGTGACTGCAGCAATGGACTCATATGCGTGTGTTGTCGACCAAAGGAAAAGATAGAGACGGGGGACATATAGGAATGGGGGTCAGGCCAGAAAGCCTGAAGGCAGGGGGTTAACAGGTGGGAGAACTGCAGCCCCTATGCTAGGCCTTTCTGGGTTTTTATTGAGAATCATCAGGAAGATAAACAAAGGAAAGTCACAAGGGAGTAGTAAATAAAAACAAAGGATCATGGGGATGTCTTTCTTTTTTAAAAAAAAATTTTTATTCTATTTTATTATTTATTCTTTTTATGTGTGTACCGTCAAATTGGATCTGATTGGTACAGGAGGCGATTTTTCCTCCTTCTTCAGCAGAGCATCTGGTGGATTTGAACCATGCACCTCTGGGATTGCAGTGCAGTTTCCTGCCACTAGGCCACCAGAGTTCGCCAGGGCGGTCTTTTGTAAATAAGGCCCAGTTCTTTTCTGCTGTTTACATTATGCCTATTTCAGGGAGGAGGGATTCAGTAAGTACAAACTAATAATTATGTAGACTTAAGGATTGTCTCAATGCCTACCCCTGTAAACATTTAAGGATTACTTGAATGATACAGGGTGAATTCTAGTTTATATTACACCTCCCTCATATCCTGATAGAGGATTTGGTTTCTTTGATATTTGGCCTACTACATGTGTTAGAGATTGTGAAAATGGCCCAGGAGAGGACAGGGTTCAGAGCTGTTGTTCAAGGGTCACTAACTTGAAGGCACCTCAGAACAAGCTGTGAGAGGGAGTTCTGGTGCCCTAATCCGTGGGCCCCCAGAGACCTCGCCTCTCTTGCAGTTCAGATCCACCAGCAGCCCCTGGGAGAGAGATGGGCTGTGTGATTTACAGCTTTGCAAAGTGGATGTAGGCTCAGCTACGCGTGGGCTCTGCTTCCACGGCTGTGACTTTGACTTGACTTTGAAGCCGTGAGAGGCGGAGTATCTGTTGAAGGCACCTCTTGTGTTCTCCTTGGAAACACCCTTAATGAACTAAGATGAGGTGCTGTCCCCGATGTGCTGGCACCTCCCAGACGCACGGGGCTGACATCTCGTCTTCACCCCCATCTTCCAGAGGAGGAGCGCGTGGACGTCCTGGTCAACAATGCGGCCGTGATGCGGTGTCCCCACTGGACCACGGAGGACAGCTTCGAGATGCAGTTCGGGGTGAATCACCTGGGTGAGGCTGCGGCGGGGGGCTGGCTGTGCTGGGGG